TGGGAGAATTGATGTCTCTTTCAGGCAGACCACCAAAAGCTTAACGTACTCTTTGAGGAGGGGTGGTCGACCTCCTTGGGTGCCTAACCTTGGCACTCCTAGACCATCATCCCCTTGCGGGGCAGCCCTGGTTAACGACTAGCATGGCTACTAGAGTTCCTCATGGGCGCTCACTTGCTCATGGGGATAGTGTTGGACCAGCACTGCGCTACCGACTCTAAAGGGAGGCTTGGCATGCGGGTCTGACTCAAGCATGACTCTTCACCTCGCCGGCCTTTGCCCAAGCTGATTGAGCTATCACATTGCCCCTAGCGCATGGGTGTGTTTCGGCCCAAGCGGTTGCCTATCATCATGGCACACAGGTGCCTGTCATCATCGACATACAGGAGACCCTTCACATCGGTGCCAAGTCACCTCATCGGCGCATGGTCGCCTTGCATTATGGTTGTCCCCCTTTAGCACATAAGCGATGCCTCCCATGGACCGGTCTGAGCCAGGAGAGTGCCCCGGCCATTGGACTTGAGATCATGATCCAGTGCTACTGACGTTGGTGGAGCCATCCCATCGGGCAACTCCTAGCCTCTAAGCGTACAAAGGCTTGTCCTGGCCTACCTTGGCCTGGACGCCGCACGGGTTTCTTCCGCTGTAGAACTACCCCCGTGACATTGTGGTCAGTGGTCACATGTTTCACCGGATGTGTACACTGCCATAGCTTGCCAAGAGGAATACTTAACCTTGTTGTAGACTCCGACTTCCGACCGATGATGTGATGGAAAGATTGAGAAACTCTAGGGTGTGCTTGTCAAAATAGGTCGTAACCCAAGGAATTCTTGTGGAAATTGATTTTAGGGATTATTGGGCTGCAATTCCCCTCAGGAATTTTTTTTTCAGCCCCCACCTAGTTGTGGTGGAGTATTCATCGAATACCCCCAATATCTGCCGTATTGAGGGGGGCACTAAATTGCTCCAGAGCAGCACTCTATCTCCCTGTGCCCTTTATTTAGATGAGTTCATCCAAGAAGGGCATAGACACAAGTGTTTCTCTCGGTTCTTCAATCTGGAGATGAGAGTTACTTTATTGGGCTTGATGAGCCATAAGAAATCCAATAACTTTTTCCAATTTTTTATCATGACAGGCTTGAAGTATTCATCGAATGCCTTTTGCTTTT